AAACCGGCAGTTGACTTCTGACTTCAAACTGCCATGACCCTAGGGTATATCATGATCAACTATTTCCATAGTACTCACCTCACCTTTTTACCTTCGTCTTTGAAACACTCTTCTCTTCCCTCCCCACCCTCTCGACTTTTTTTCCTTCGATGTTCCTTCCTCTCTGTGAAGCCCGAAGTCAACTAAAGGGCTAATGATAACCATCAAATCGCCTGCCATTTGATATAAAATAATAAATAATCTTTAAAACATGAAGACTGTAAGAGAACGTCTACAGAGAGAAAAAAAATTATATATGATTTCGAGGTTAGTCAGAGATCTTAATACCTTAATTAGGTATAACTCAGTCATCTTTTGTTTGCTGATAAACGTTAAACACTCAGACTTATCACTGCAAGGAATATGTAACTTTAATTAGAGAGAGAGCATCTTTTCTTGCTAAAAGCGTGGGCAACAGCAAACACGTCACTTAAAATAATGATCAGAAGGAAAGGAGCAAACAACTGAAGTAATTATCTGTTTGAGGCAGAAGGGCAATTAAGGCTCATTATTGCCTTGAAATTAAAATTTCTATTTATGTAATTGTGGATGTTTAACCACTCAACACGTTTACTCCAGGCCTTAACAAAATTTAACTCGGATAAGTCAAGCTGTACAAATTCTACGGGTTGGGCTATTGACCAAGCAGTTGTGTAGACTAATAATTGATCAATTGTATGTGCTGGGAACATTAGATTTAACAATTAGGCCTGTTGTTGGGGGCAGAGAAAGAAGCAGTTGCGTGTAATTGATTCAGACAGCAAAATTAAGGAAACAAATGAACAATTACACTTCCTATAAATAATTTCGAAAGTTGCGTATAGTTTAGGCAACTAACTAGCTATTGAAAAAAATTATGATTATTGCCAATGCAAGAGTAGGCAAATTAGAGATTTATTCCGTTTTTTTTTATCAAGCAGTTTACCCAAACATCCGGACTTTCGCATACAATGGCTGCAATATGTAAGGCCTATAAGCATAATACAAGCAGATAATTAGTCATCCTCAATTGCAGTTTAAGTAATATCGGGATTATTTTTTATTAAGCGAGATGAAACTATCGACTTCTAATTGTTTGTTAATTGATAAATATTGATCTTCATCTCCTAAACACTCTCGAGTTACGAAAAGATGAAATATACGCCATTGCTATTTCCTATATTCCAGCGTGATACCTAGTGAAATATCTATGCACCCGGGGGCTATAAGACGCGGAGAAATGAGTACGATTGCCTTTTAGCTGCCGTTCAATACATCATTCCCCCTATAGCGCGATGAAATCTAATCAAGACGTGTTCTCTTCAGGTGTATTCTTTGTCATATATAGATATGTATCAACACCGTGTTTATTGCTGATGATTAGAAGGATTTGAGCCGTCCAGTTAAATTGGGTTATATTATAGTCAAAACTTAACTGCACACTGTGGAAAGGGTGAGTGGTAAAGAGAAAACTAACCAACCAGATTGAACTTCAAAGTGGCCTTGAGTAACATGGTACGTCCAGTTGACTTTCCACTGCCGAGTTATAAAAAAAGTTGAGCTTCGGAGAGTTTAAAAATATTCAAAACCGAAGTCCATCAGAGTCTCAACATCTCCACTAGTAATTATAGGAGGCTTGGGAGAACTGCACATTTTCATGACTTTGATCAATTATTTTGATAAATCTATGATATTAGTTTGATTTATTAAATGAATTTAGTTATAAGCTTATCAATTTAACAATAGTAATGTAGTTAGCTCCTCTAAGCATGAAACTTAAAATTTCGAAGGTAGCATTATATTATTATTAAATTTGGGGTCCGCGATAGACTTACCTCCACGTGGTGCACCCTGGGCCACGTATACTAATGCGGCAGAAAAAGCCTATTAACCAGCAGTTGACTTCTGACTTCAAACTACCATGACCCCACTGTTTGTCATATTCGAACCCTTTCACAGTACTCATCTTACCTTTTCCCTGCCTCTGTGTCTGTCTGTCACTTTTACATCAGTGAATCATTATTCTGTCCCCCACCCCCCTAGAATTTTTGTGACCTTGATATTCCTCCTCTCTGTGAGGCTCGAAGTCAAGCAAAGGGTTAATGATAACTATCATAAAGCCTGCCATTTGATATTAATAAATGGTATTCAACATAACCAGTAGGAGTCAGAATTACTTAACCAATCACAACGATGTTAATCAGAAAGTCTTACTTCTTCATTGGTTTGAAATTAATTCAATCAAAATACTTAACTTAGCATCAGGTAACTGGGAATTCAAGTGTTGAAGTAAATCTCTTTTCCAATAAATAAACGTCTATTTTGTGGCTGATGGGGCACTATTTTGGCGTAAGCTTTGAAATATCCGGATGCAGGTGTCCGCATTCACCAGCCAAAATCGTCCATTAATTAAGTCGGTACTAAAACGTTCTTGACGAGTGTCATTTGAGAGAGAGAATTCCAAACGTTTTCAAATAAAGTGAGTTGGGATGGTTTATCGAAATTCTGATCATATGCAAATGTTGTTGGAATGGGGGACAAAGCAAATGTCAACAACAGACCCACCAAATACAAGGAGCTCATGAAGTACCTGAATATTTAACTCAGAAAGACATTGCCCGATTTCCTCATACATAAGTGTAATAAAGAAACAGCATCATTTAAACTTTGAAAAGAGGTAATTCTTACTGCTTTATAAGAAAAGCGTAAGCACGCCTTTGTTCAGTAATAAGATGCATGTCCCATGCATTTTATAAAATCTACCTTCAATTACACCAAGACTGTGACTCCTCAATCCGTTAGCGTCTTCAACAGAGGTAATAGTTAGCAAAAAGGGAAAGGAGACGTGAGTAGTATCCTCGGAACCAATTGTTGCCATCTGCAGCCCTAAATCCCACATTGTGTTTAAATCTGTCCAACTTGTTTGACTAGGCATGCCTTTTACAGCTTTTACTATAGCAGATACGACACACAGTATACGGTGCGTCACACATGCACGCGCGCACGATAATTCACCGTCGCTCCACATAGGCAGAGAATGCGAAATACGCCAACTAGTATTGCGAGATCGATTGTTGCCTACAGACAACCAGTCAGCTCCCGCCTTGCATGCTATTGGTAGCACTTGAAAAAGCGCGCACTCGGCTTCGCTTATAAACACGCGCAGCCACACAGCACATGACAAAAGCGCGAATCCCGCTGTCGCTGAGGTTCTTTCTCTCAATTTTCTCCATTCGTAATTGTGATACGTATATATTGACCCCTCAATTTCTCTGTGATTATTCTACCCTTCTTAACACATTTACTGTGTGGCTGGCTTCACGTGGGAAATGCGGGGGTGGATTTAGTCCTACTATTTTTTTATATCTGCTATAAAATTGCGAATTTGTATTATGCGGCATCGTAAACTGCCATTGAGATTTGAGACCTTCACTTCCTTTGCCAAATGCCTTTCATTGATACATATTACGACATTCCTGTCTATTCTTCTACTCTTCCTCTTTCTTAACTTGTGTTTGAGCCCAATTCTAGCATTGGAAGTTATATCGGATTGCGAGGTTCGAAGGCCGAAATCTGCCACAGGACATTACAGACCTCTAAATCAAACTCGTCAAGATTTCACTAACGTTTTAGCGCATTGCAACGCGATCAATCACAACCGAAAAATGCTTGTCAATAACATCTCAGATCCCGGTTATTTGAGGAATAAAATTCCAATTGTAAATTTTGGAATACATTTAGCTTCAAATGGAGTTTTTGGATTTGGTAATATGCTTCCCTCCTTTGACATAGCCATCGAAAAAATTACTCAAATCCCAGCTTTTCGTGGAGTGTACTTCCATGCTGTTCCGATAATCTATTTTGACTGGCTTGCTTGCGACACATTAGCAGTTCTGGAAAAGTTTGCTAATCGAGAAGTGAATGTCCTCGTTGGTCCACTTAATGACTTCGCTCTCGCTTCGGTTGCGCGTTTATCATCAGCATTTTACAGAATACCTATTCTTACTCCTTGTGCTTCATCTGTTGCCCTCTCGGAGAAAAATGAGTTTGCTTTGTTGACTCGAACTTACTACACTCAAACAGATTTGACTTCTGTTCTTCAAGGGATTTTTAATTATTTTAAATGGCTACCAAATAATAATACACCGGTTGGAGCTTTGATTATGAAACCTAAAACTGTCACCTCTGGTTTTAATTCCGGGTGGGATGAGTATTTTGCAAATCAAGCCCTGGAAAGTTTCATGAAGAATTACTACTACCACAAATATCAAATAGACGACATCAGGGAAGGCCTGGTAACACTTCAGAAATACCAAAATCTCGCTCGAGGTAAGATAAATTAACATTTGTTTTATGTGCCTTATAACGTTGCCTCGAATTTATTTTTGTCTTCAAGAATTAATCCAGATAATTCTTTATTCATTCTCTATCACCAATTTGAATGATGTCTTTGTTTTACTTAAAATGATTTCTAACATCTTTCTTTATGTACCATGGACACGAAATAGAGAGTGAGCTAAACAGTTGTCAATTTCAGATTTTAATTTTTCGAAGTGTGAATTTCTATTCTTGCCAGAGTATAAATTTCAGTGCTATCGTGGTCATAAGGCTGTTGAGTGATAGCTCTTTTTATTCGCTCTTTTTTAAATTACTGACTTTCTCATACCTACGTATAGCAAACAAAAAATTGTTCATATAGCGTCTTAGAACAAGTGTTTTCCCTTACTTTGAATTAGTTTACAAGTTTCACATTATTTTACACAAGCTATGGCTGGATTATTGATTTTTCCGGACAGATGTTTTATACACATCTGCGAGCAGATGTTTTATCGATCCGTGTCTTCAGTCTATTTTAGCTTAATTGCATTGGGAATTCTAGAGTGAACAAAATGCAGAGTAAGTAGAATTAACAGAATTCGAAACGGTCGAGCTGGAGGAATGTGGTTTTTGGTGATTATATACGTCTTTGTCTAGAGTGAAGGCCGTCTCACTATTAGCCTTTTTCACACATACGAGATCGCACCCTCTATCGCGTTTTAAATTAACTGAGGTCCCGCCATCTGCATCTGTATGTAAATAAACATACTACCACCCCCCTATTGATAACGCTTATCTATCTGTTTATGATGCATGACAGGTGGATTCTCCTGCGATTCTTTGAGTAAACTATTTGATTTGACTTTGGGATGTTAGTGCATTTGGCTTCAAAACTACCCATCTAATACTGGTAACCACTGGATACGTCTTCAACATTGCAGATGACTGGAATGAGTTGAGCTTTCTGTCTTAGGTTTTTGGATGTATCTTTTCTCAGTGTGAGTATACATAAGTTCTTTCTAGGATAGTAAGTGTTTATCCGATTATTGATAGGTTATTAATATTAGTAATTGTTATTGGTATAAGTTTTGTGGGAAAGAAAGACTTCTCTATCCCTCCGTTTATCTACTTACCTCGTACTTATCAATCTTAATATTACTGTTCATTCCCTATCAATCGCAGTTGTTGTTTTCGTTCCCGTCTCTGTGCGATTGTACATAAACTAATCTCGTTTCGTTCAGATTGTATACCAGAAAGATTGTTTTTCACTAGCCTCAGATTTCTACACTTTTTAGTAGGCGGATTTGACATGACTCAACCTTATAAGGAGTTAATAGAGGGGGTGAGAGAGGGAGAGAGAACGCGCGCTAATCTGAGATTTGATTGAGCTTCCCTCTCCACTCTGCCCTCGTTTGATCATTATGGGATCTACTTACGCATGAATCCCATGAACCGTAAGTTAAACAGCTGTTTTTCGTAGTACTAGTAGAGGAACAGAACCTAAGACCCATACGCCACCATATGGGGATATTACATGAGCGAAGGAAAGGAATGGGAGGGAGGAGGGCGGGGGGGGGAGAAAAAGAATAACATAAGAGCAAGAAATGTTGCCTCTACCACCACTCTTATTGTGTACACAGAAGGGGTGGAGGAGGAATGGGAGAGTGTATTTACTCAGGGCAGACTTATGACAGCTACTGTTAGTGCTGGCTAGTTAGCAGCGTATGGGCTGTTGACAAAGGAACGGCATGTGTGTACGCGCATGCTGCTATACATCGTGTATCACGTGCTACCCACTATGGCTGATTCATGCTCTTCCTCTCTCATCAAAGTGCCTTCAGATCGCCTTTTCTATTTCTCCTATATTAGCACAAAAAATTGCCTTTTTCTTCTTCAGATTTTATGGTAATATTCATTTTGATTCATCGTGGCGAAGGCAATTACTTATTCTTTTAGATCTGATCCAAGTTTTACGCTCAAATTGTTCTCATTATTTAATGTTCATGCCCATTTGATTGGAATCAATGTAATGGTTCCATCTAAATCCATATATCTATGTTTGTATTGCCATGCATAACGCTCCTTTCTGTTTTTTGATGTGGTCTTCCTTTTTCGATCTAATTTTGTTTATGTGTAATAAATCGAACCCCAAAATTGATCTCTAAATGAAATGCACTTTCTTTGTTGTTAATCCGAATTTGATTTTGAAATTAGATAATTTCTCTCCCAAAACTCCACTGTTTCTAATTTTAGTCTTTCCCATGATTTAGTCTCTCTGCCCCTCTCTCTCTAGTCAAAATAAACTGCTAACTTTCTTAGTTCTTATCTAAACTAAGTGAAATTGGGAAAATTTTGACCAATTTACATGCATGTTCAAGACTATCGTGTCGGTATTAACACTGTGTTTGTCCGTATTGATGAACAGATATTTGTAAGCTAAATGTTGCCTGCAATTTTTCCTAAGATTTGATGGTGGATTCAACCATATTTTCCCCATCTAGAATGCTAAATGTCTTTCCCCAGCAAATTTAACAATAACAATAGCGCGTACTCAAATTTTCTCAGAATCTATTTATTAACAATATGTCAATATTTTCTACCCAATTGTATCACGGATGCATGCATCTACTAACTTGAATCAATTAAAATCGTTTTATCAACTTATTCCTACATTTCAAGTGGGGGAGGGGGAGATTCAAGGTTATAATCACAAAAAATGACTGGTGGGATCTATATGGTTGATGAGACCTTGAGGCAGGCTAGAAAGATCTTTGTTATGGGAAATGCAGAAACGAAAAAGTAGTGCCATAGTGGGCTATCTGTTTATGCGTATTGCGAGCCAATCGGAATGTATTATCACCAATCGTTAAACGTAACCTTGGAATTAGAAATAATTATAATAATTCCAACGCGCATCCTTACGCATCATTTCGATGTAATTGCGCGTTTTGCTTTCCTAATAGCCATAACTAGCGGGGAATTATTATTAAATTCGGTCAAAATTTTTTTCTTGTTGGGAGTCAACAATAAACTTATCATTACTTTTAATTTTATTAATAACCAAAAATGCCCCAAACTTTGCTGCATTAGGATGGGTTTTGCTATTAAAAGTTCCTTCCCTAAAGGTGTTTTTAGTGAAATTAGGGATAATAAAAACTCCAGCAAAGCACGTTTCACTATATTTATTATTTTTTTTACCTATCTTTTATGTTATCCAGAAAGCCCAAGTTTTCAAAGGGTGAATGTAGTTTAATACAAAATTTTCAAGGAGCTTTCGAGTGCAATGATATTTGGTCAAAAATACACGTCCTCCTAACATTTCGATGTGATTGACCCCTTGCCAAGCGTTAGTGAGCTTCTATTTTCATTTAAGGTAACTTAGAATCTTTAGATGGAGAAATCTTATTGGATTTGAGATAATCGACCAATTTTATGGCATCTTGTACTTTGCAGGATTTGAAACTGCCATAGTGGGAGCAGTGAACAAGGGTTGAGAGATAGGTACTCATTGGGGGCATCTCTAGTGACTTGGATGATTAATCTCACAAATTCATTCTCGTCAAAAAGAGAGTTGACGGAATATGACCTTCTAATAAAATTGGCCTTGGGATATCTTCTCTCAACGCATTTCAAGAAGTGCTTACACCTTTCGCAATGCGCTTGTATAGTTTTATAATTTGAACTGGTTGGTATATAAAACTTAGTGCCGTGGCTGAGTACCAACGAATCTTGTAGACTCGAATATGTTAGAAATAAGACGATATTTGATGATTATGGAAGTGCAATTGGTGATGGAGTGTCAGTCCTAACCTGTCTTATTTATGATACATGCAATCCGATTAGGAGTGACAGTTTGCCTTGCTGAGAATTGCCTTCAATCATCACACAGTTAATCTTATGCTTTCCTCTTAACGCAAGGGATATATCTTCCATTATGTTACCCGTTTGTTTAAATTTTGAACTGATTATTTAAATAAATTGCTCTCAACGTTAAAATATTTGGTTATAAATGAAGTTGATACCAACATTTAAAATTCGATAACATGGTCAATATAACCGCACCCTGGGATAATTTAGGTGCTTATTTTCGCTTTGGAGTTAATTGTTTCCAGGCTTATTGAAGTAAAGAAGAAGCATCGTTAGGTCTCTTCCACTAGGTGTGATTTGCAATGAGTATTATTTTGATGCATTTTTATAGACTTTTTATGCGAACAAGTTGTTGCGCGTTAGTTGAATTCGGCCAAGTTTATTACAATTCTATTGCACTCTTAAGTGTTTCATGCCTCTTAAATAAGCTAAGGCTGGTGATAAGAGGCCTAAAATACTCTCCTAGATGACTAACCTTATTAAAAGCTCCCCCCCCCTCCACATCGTGATCTAATTTCTAACAAGCTACCAAACGGGGGAGGAGAGAAGTAGAGGATATTCTAGGTGTACTTTTATTAGTAGAAAACATGAAGGTGCTTAGTACACCTAAGATGCGTGTGGTTAGAATAAGAATGTGTGCTATGCAAATCAGTTGGTAGTGCAAGATAATGGAAGCGAAAACGCTAAACAGCTTAAGTTATTGCTCATGCATTGACATCGAAGGCATATTTTAAATTAATTTACTACGGACCGTGTCCTTAGTGTTGATTGATTAGTTAGTACAATTGCTAGAATTCATTTCTGCCATTTTCTATGTGGAGGATATCCCTTTTTTCTTTGGTAATTTTATTGAAAATAGCATCGATGGAAGTGGACTAACTAGATTTTTGGCATCCAGTGGATAGTTGGATTTTTGATTACTTTTAAGTATCCTTTATCACATATGTATTTTGTTTGAAATAACTGTTCCATTAGGGTTTGAACATAAGTCTATCAGCCTAACAATAATGCCTAACATTCGGGAGTAAGCTTAAGACACTCTGGAACCCTACATTATATTAATATGATTGACCATTTCGTATTCTGATTGAGTTCCCATTGAACCTGATATTTCTGACTTTGCGCATAGATGGATTTTAGGTAGTTTGAAACGTCTTATTCACACGATGACCATTTTACAAACATACTCTGACAAATTCTCAAGCAGGTTGAAACGGTTGGCAGGACACCTAGTTCGAGTATTTCTATAAGTGTAATAAATCATTCACCCTTGATCGGTATTGATGGTGCATTAACCCCCCCCCCCCCCAGTTTCCAAAGTTCGGACTAAAGTCTTCTAAGGTCGTTAATGCACCGTATTCATGAAATATGGTTTGGCTAAAATCATAGCTACAAGTTTTACCCGGCAATATGTATTCATTTATTTACCCCCCCCCCCTTCTCTTCGCCATTACAATAAGAAAAAGCGAAAGACTCAATAATTACATTAAACAACTAATTGTCATTATACTTGAACTTTGCCACTTATTTTGCGCTCTTTATAACCACCTGTGAAGATTATCGTCTCAAAACTTTCTTTCAATTTAAAGGCGAGCTGAATTCCATTTCTGGAATGTGGAGTTTTCTTTACTACCATCTGGGAACCTCTTTTAACACTTTCACGTCACCACTTTTCGTTGCATTGGCTTTCATACACCCACATTTCAGTAATCTTTCTTAGATTATAATTAGGAAAGGGAGTGATTTTCTCATGCATTGGCCATTCTCTTATGCCAAGAGACGACGGTCTTGTCAGAGATATCATTAAAACTAGGGGTTTAAAATTTTCAACAAAAAAACACTGAGGATGGAGAAAGTTTAAATTCAAAGATTTTGGTCTTTAAATTAGGAAGTGGGTTTTAATATTTAATCACAAAGAAATTCGTTGTTTGAAATGTATATGACCCCTTCCTTTTGTTGTATCCAGGCAATAAAAGCGCTTGGGTGCGAATCATATTGCAATCATATTCAATTCTCCCATTTTGGTATTTCCTTAACACGTTGAGTGCGATAAGACCCGCCGGTGGTTCGTTTATAAAAAATAATACATAATCATAATCGCGCCAGCGGACAGTCGGCGGTTTCGGCCATCACATTCAACGTGTTGAAGCTGTATTTCACAAACTAGTGCAAAATCGTCTTAAAATTGAAGAAAATGTACACTAGGGAAGGACCTTTACAACTGCCTCCATATTTAATATTTCTTATTCCCATTAGAAGAAAGGGATGAGAAAAGACGTATACATGGCTTTTCTTCCTTCATGAAGTATTTTAATACTGTAATAGGTCCTATTAACAATGTTTGTCTACCTTCTCGACGGTAATGAGTCTCGTGCACATCAAGTCCAAGGATATACAATCGCTTCTCTTTAAAAGAAGAGATATGCTCTTTATTTGACGAATTCACATTTCACCGTTGATCATACCAGCTTCGTTTGGACTGCTGATTTTTGAGAAGATTAGGTCATTGCTGCTAAGAGGGAAACAAACGTGATAAGGTTCTATCATCATTGACACTTTTCTTGCTTAGTCATTCGATTGTACTAAATGTATTGGTAGAGATGTTGCAATATGATTATTTTGAATATGAATTTAGAGCGTTCACGCTTACCCTCTTTAATTCTAGTTCTCTCTTCTCGCGCAAGGGAAAAGTGCCTGAATTGTCATTGGTTATTATTCAAGGTCACATAACTCGCACACGGACAGTAGAATTTTTGTTGCTTCTTAGGTTGGTTGTTTGGATCAGGCATTTATGTAGGCCATATATACACAACACAGGGGCATTGTGTATGTCTTCTAATCACTAACACCGTTATATCAAGTGTTATGGAAGTTTTAAATCAAATTTCTGGGAAAAGTAATCAAGCTAATGACACAAGAACTGATAAGCGAATTGTAGCTAAAAAATTCGCAATTGTTTTGTCAAGTGACAGTTTTGCTGCTTCACTTTTCACTGTTATTTAGTATCTGATGTTGTAATTGGTATCATGTTGCGTAAATATTGAACTGAGTCCAAACGAAATCGATGAAGATAAAACCTTTACCGCAAACATGCAATTTTAAATGCACTTGTCAATAGTGGATGTAAGACTTTGGTTTGTTTAGTGAAGAAATATTTCCTCCATTTCTTACAATCCATAGTGTAAATAATTTCCCCAACAATTTTCTTTCTTTGTTGCCCATAAATTTAAATTTTCGTTAATAATGTGACTTAAAACTATTCAGTAGCTATTTTAGAATACATCATATGAAATTATTTATATTTTAAGTCACAAGCGCTCTATTTACATATGCGAATGTGCATGCGACACGAACAAATTCAAAAAATGAATCTTTAAATCCAGTTATTAAAAAAACAAAAAATGAAATCTTATTGATGTTGCATTAAACAAGCACATCAGAAAGTGATTTTTGCTAATGACATCTGAGTAGTTAACATTGCAGTAGGCGCTCCGATAACCAAAAATAATTTTTAGAACGATATTGTTCCTTTTTTCCCATTTGATTAATTTATATAAAAATATTTTACCCAAATGCCCCATCGCAAGGGATAATTTTAGAAATGTTTTTGGAATATATATTACCCTTAGTTGACTTCGGACTTCACAGAGGGTAGGAACGGCCCTCCAGGCAAATACAGAAAGCCAGAGATATTGGGATACCAGAAGTCAAATAATGACCCAGTGATTTTTAAATATCTTCTCTGCTAAAAATACTTCCGATGGTTTGTTTTCCCCCTGGTGGTTGAATTGTAGTGAGTGAAAATGGCATATAGACACCCGGATTTGTTTTATTTACCCATCTAAAAGAGAATTCGTCACAAGCACTGTTTGGCGTCATTCAGCTACCTGCTTGCTATTTGATATGGTAGTATTATCTCTTTTAAGAAATGTGTAATTGATTTATTTTTGAAGGAATGTTTCTTGGTTTTGTGTAGCTGAGTTGTTGGTGATCTAGGTCTAGCAAATCAGAATTGAATACCTGTCAGTGCACGTCCAATAAACTGCATGATCTCTCTAATTTAAGGAGACCTTAGAATGGGGAGAGTCTTATCAGAATGGACCTTGAGTGTTATGTTAAGATGACTATTGAAAACAAACTTTTCTTACTTGGTTTGGAGATCTGTATCTTACATTTTTAATGCGGAACTTGATTTCGAACGATAGCATTCTTGAAATGTAATTACATAAAGCATTTTTAAATATATTAAAAATGACGAATTTTAAGTCATTATCTCCAGACGATTAATGTATTCGTGGAAGTGAAATGAATTTAAAGCTGCAATTTTCAGAGCTGCATAAAATTCTGACCTACCACATGCAGTTAATATTTAGAAATGCTTCATCAAATGCCGGTCATTAGTTTAATTCACTATGTTCACGTGATTAATTGGCTGAATTTTTATGTAGCCACTCACCGACTTGCTGCATCTTTATTGGTTCAGGGACTAGCCAATAATCTCAAAGAGTAATGCTTCGCGTGTGCATGCAAACATTTCCTGACCACTTAGTGTGGTTAAAACTAAAACGGGAGATTTCAGGGTAATGACTGTCAATGCTCCTTTGGAATCAGGCAGTCATGCCTAGTTCTACACCATTTCCGGAGTTATTTACCCACATTCTGCTATCAGTCTTGATATTCTTCGTCTACTTCTGGTGTCCTTCCTCTGCTACTACTAAAACTTCACTTCCTCGCAACGAAATTGTCCAGTTTTATGGTCTTGGTGACCATGTATGCCACGTGCCTACTGATGAATCTGTATATCGAATCGCTATTCTTGCCCCTTTTGATCCTTCTCTCTTGGATTTTTCTGCATCTCCACCTCAACATAAGGTACACTTGTCCATTTTTCCATCCTGGTGTTCTAACTTGCACAAGGTGTGATCTCTTACAGTGTGGAGCCTATTTTGGAGAAATCATGGTAGTCATTTTCAAATGTACCTTTATGGCATCTAAATGTCAGGTGGAATAGGGAAATTGACGCCTTATGACGCCTTGGATTCGTGGCTAATAGTTTATTCTAAGTCTTTGTCGCAGCTAGCTTACGTTTACTAAACTTAATTCATAGATAAAATTAAAAGGGAATCTCAGCATTCATAAGAAAACTTGACGAATGACTAAGAAATTTTCTTTCAACCATATTGGGATATAATTAGCCGTGGCCTCGACTTAGATGTCCATTTAGGTCATGTCCTTTGACAGTTGCTATCTCCTTCTTCAATGATGGACCTTTTTTATGCATAGTGATGCGGGCATGTACGTTTCTTACTTGAAGAGATCATCCATTCATTATACTTGCCATAATATTTTTACTATTTACCTGAAATGGTAAGGCTTCCAGCCTGTTAGCATTTAATCTAGTGTAGGATGTCATCCACCTAGCGAGTTAGAACCTCCCCGCCCTCTAATTTAGGCAGTGGTTTCATCAACGTCTTTTCTACTCTTCTAAAGAACTCCAAGATAGCAGGATATCTGGCCCCTCTTTTGGATTTAGTGCTTGAGCGTATTCGAAACACTCCTCAATTTTCCAATCTTCCCTCACTTGAGTTTGCCTGGGGTGACACCATGTGTGATATGAAGGAATCTCTGGATTTAATGTTTCGCTATCTTTTGGATGAACCTGTGCACGCATTTATTGGACCCATATGCACTTTCCCTCTGGCCAACACTGCACGGATAATCGGTGCCCGTTTTCGACGCCCCTTAGTCACCTTTGGGGGTTTCGAAGTGGAATTGGCCGATAAAGTGACCTATCCCCAGCTCACACGCGTTGGCGGGAATTACGCATCGCTGAATGGTGCTCTCAAGAGTATCTTCCTTTATTTTGGCTGGCAGCCCAGACCCCATAAAAATGTCGCCTTGTTGCATGTACAAGTTGATTCTACCACAGCGGAACTACAGGGTATTAGTAAGCAAATTGTCACTGCTGCCCAATCGGCCTATTTTGCTGCCAAATCGATTTTGAATGAGGAAAGTTTGGGAGACTTCAAAGTGGAGGGGATTCTCACGCAGTTTCAGAATAATGAAGACATTCTTGCGAGAATGCAGCAAATTTCATCTTATGGACGAAGTAAGACTGGTTTAAGTCATTCAGTATTTAGTTTTTTTCATTTTGTGATCATCATTCACTCATATGAAGTTAAGAGGCTCCGGGTGAGGCCTGTGGAATTCAATTTTACTTACCTCCAATTGTGGGTTGATTAAAGGAGTTCAAGAACTTTCGAACGCCTATTGTCCACCATTTTTATAACATCCGGGAATTCGTGATTGAATCAATTCCGCAGAGTGTCTGCTTTATTATAATATTGGCTGCTAATTAAGTAACACTTGGGGCACAATTGCAGAACGGCGATTTAAGTACGAAATTTTATTAAAGTATCTTTATATATTTTAACTTCAGAGTTTTTTCTCTTTTGGGTGAAGATTTGTCCTCAAGTCTTTATTTTCACGTGATTGTTTGCTTCATTACTCCTTTTTGAATGTTTTTCTATTTTTTCGTTGGGATGCGAGTTACTATAAATTTAAATTCTTACTCGCCGTTTCAATTTTTGGAAGATTGACTTCTAAATTCTTAAAATATAAGTCGTAGTTTGACATTAGCTTTGGGAAATCTCCAGTTGATATGAATTTTTTCAGTTCTATTCAATAAACTTTTTATTTAGGCTAATCTTTAAGCCAAGTTTACATTAAATGTGGGAGATAAGTGTACATTTCGTGATATTCTGTTTTTCCTAAGTTCAAGTGTTATTTAACCTCTTGGTTCCTTGGTACATGTATTTCATTGACATTCATTGCTTCTATTTATTTGGTTGAAATGGCTGTTTGACCACGTCTTTTCGATTGGCTGGTCTCTTCTGATGGCCAATAGCAAAGAAGTTGGGTTCTACTAGACAATGACCAACATGGCTTTTTAAGCGGGAGTTTTTACCTTTCGGTGTTCTACTTACTCCCCCCCCCCCCCCCCCCCCCAACCCAATACCAACACTTCATTTTGTAACTTTTTATTTGTCTTTTCATGAAATCTTATATATTTCTTTCCTGTGCTAATTTTTCAATATTAAAATTCCCTTAACCTTTTCAGCTTAAATTTAAACAACTCGGAGAATTTTTGTTCTTGAATCTACAGAATGTCAGTTTTTTTTTCTTGAATAAGGCAAACTGCTTAGAATGTTGGCTTGTTTAAAGGGACAGGTATCTTCACCTTTTAATGTGTCAACAAAATCGTTAAATCACGATGAAGTGTCCACTATTTCGAATTAGAGTTTTGTGTTTACATTATTTTGGCTTGTTTTCTAAATCTTGGGTCACTTTTGCCGTTGATGGTGGCCTAAGATTGTTTCCGTGACATATGATAGCACTTTTTTAGGCTTTTCGTGATTTTCAGCTTTCTTTTTTACTTAATTTATTTCCTTTTCTCCTATAATCCAATATTGATTTAAAGATGTATTAATATATTTGAGCACTGGAAAACGCCTTTTTTCCTTATATTGGAAGGGTGTTCGGCTTGTCATGCATTCCATTCCCATTTAACATTGTAGGGATGTTTCAGTTGTTTTTAGGCCATAGACATTCACTTTAAAAGAGGTATAGGCCAATTTTTTTCATTTGATTGGTTATTTAGGGCCTTCTGGTTGTCTAATAAGTTAACCTACTTTGCTACTTTCAGTTATCATTCTTTGTGCGGATCCTCAGTCAGTGCGAGATCTCATGCTCGTTGCGGATGAATTGGGATATATCAATGGAGAGTATGTCTTTATCAATGTCGATCTTCTTCGCAGGTAAGTCTCTCATTTCTTTTCGAATTTTCTGCCTATGTTATTAATTGTGAAGCTTTCTCGGTGAAATCACTTAGCGAAAAATAAACGAGTACGGTTCCTATTTGCACAGGCTTACTTGCAACGTAAGACCCAGAAAACGTTAGAAAGAGCACATAACACCCAGGTCTCATCACATCATGCCGTTAATTGGTAGTTTTCCTACCAATGATTTCTTAGTTCACCCTCTTTTTTTCCTTGATCAACGTTTGAAAATGCTTTCTTTATAAACAGAATTAATACAAATACATCCACTGGAAATCTGAAATTTCTCTACCAACTACCATAAAATCGCTTTATCTATCAAAATATATATAGCTTTTATTGAAACGGTGGTTTATCAGAGTCCATGGGTGCGATATCTAACTATATGCTTAAAGAAGTTGGGATTACTAACCAGAAGAAGTGGAGGCTATCCCGATGCTCAAACCGGGTTTTAAAAGTGCTTTCTTTCGATCAATTTGCCGTTTTTTTATTAATCAAGGATGAGAACTTTTGAGGTCAGTCGATTTGTAATATCTCTAGCCTGTTATGCTCTCCTCAGAAAATTCTAGCAGTCAACAGTGGATAGTCGTCTTTAAATAAACCAGAAGTTGGAGGTTTAAATAATAAACTTTGTAGGCAACCGGAAAAAGCGACTGCCATGCATATGTACTTCAAAGTATGCATAATGCTTGAGTAATTTGAGAATTTTAATTCTTCTTTAATTCGGTTAGTTAGTGTTCCTACTAATTGATATTTGATTTTTAAATTAGAATGACATGCTTAAGGGAATTGCCATCGCAAAATCAATGCCCAAATAAGTTTGGAACTCTGTATTGAAATCACGGAATCTGAAGTACCATCGTATCGAATTTCCCCCATCCACCCTTATCATAAGTGGACTCAAGGTTGAAGTTATGCCGTCTCTTTAAGTTTAGTCTAAAGGTAATATTTAGTACTCGCCGTTGTGGGTAATTAATTTTCTGCAGTTTGATCTTTAGAGGTAAACTGGCCCCAATTACTGAGAGTAGTGGAAATTAAAGTGCTTTTCGTAGTGATCACTTGTGTATCATAAGTGCTGATTCCTGAACTGTGTTGCTATTCGCTAAAACTGGGAAATTGTTCTCATGTCCGGCCAGGCAAATCGTGCTTCATGTCCTGTCCATTTATATCTGGTATTTTCTAAATTGCTTATATTCAGGATTCCATGTTTTTTTCTGGATTTAATCGAACTATTTATCTCTAGAACAATGATAACTCACTCTAAATATTATGCTCTTCCAGAATTAATTCTTGAATCTTTTAAGTTACGTATTTTGGTTATAACGAAAGGTGGAAATTCTGCTCTTGTGCTATTTATTTAATTGAAAGTAATCGTTCGCTCGGTCTTAGTACCTTGGTAGGGTTAGTTAAAACATTTCAGATTTACACTTCAGGACCGTTCCTTCTTGATAAACTAATCCCACCCAATAATTGACGAACACCTTTGACAAACACTTGCAGCAATCCAAGGGTCAATGAGGAGCTCGAATTTTAGGAAATGAACCACCCATTTATTCCAAGTCCAAAAATTTAATTAATTGAAAAATCTTGGATTCTTTGATGTTCCGCGTTTTTGGGTCCACCTCCATCTTTCATTTCCTTTACCCCACTTTTCTACGTCAGTTGCTTCTTGTGATTAGAATTTGTACTTTTTATAATAATTTATGCGTACGTTCATACGAAACTTGGTTTGCCTCCGGGTAAATTAATTGTCCCACTTGTAACAAATTCCTTCTGAAACCTGGAGAAGTTACTAGCAATACCTTTGTTTTTGTTGTATTCTACTCAAATCTAAGCTTATTGCAATTCAATCCGATGTTTTATTTATATGATTCTGTGTTGGGTGGAAAAACTCAAAGCTTGTGGAAGGAAAATATTTTCTTGTTGAAGTCGAGGAGTATTTAAAAAGGGTTTAGAGCTATCCTCCACGAGCGAATAAGCTAGTAAATGAGCAGAGTTACATGTTTATTAGTCGGAATGTGTGTGTATAATGTGTGAAAGAGAGGAATTTTAGACATGAATGCAAGAGAGAAGATTTGGGTAAATAAGTGGTTTTGAGAAGGTATACTAGGAGAAGTCGTTCTTTATGCTCTTTCTTGAGGAGATGTGAAACTAATAGCAGATTAGTTGGCAATAATGGCAACTCAAAGTTGCATTAAAATGTGCTTTATGTAGTACAAGCGTACGTCGCGAAATTTCTATCATTTCACCTCAAATCGAGACGGACCCGCTTGCCTATGGTTTCGGGCTGTTCATTGGTATACACTTTGGGTAGCTGATGGGCTGGTAATTAGGTCACTTTTTAGTTCTTTTAATCTCTTACTAAATACTCATCCGTGTTATCAGCGCCCATCATATCTAGTTCATTTCGCTTCCAACAATGTGAACACATTTTGTTCTTAAGAAGCTGAGCCTATTCAATCATGTCTCTCTCTCCCTCTCTCTTAACATTCCAGCGTTGAAGAGCAGCGTCGACCATGGTACGACGAGAATTCAAGCGAAGAAGAGAACGAGCGTGCACGACAAGCCTATAGAGCCTTGTTGACAATAACCCTCCGCAAACCCGACAATGAGGAGTACAGGAATTTCACTCGAGAGGTCCAACGTCGAGCTCTTGAGGATTATAATTACACTTACACTGGCAAAACCGTGAGTTCTCCATTCAATTTTTTTGCTCAAGTTTATTCGAGTTACTTTTGACGCTTTATTCACTAGCTTTCAATTTTCAAATTGAATAAATATCGACTTCTATTTAAAAGCTACAGTAGTCTTCAGTGCGGATATCATTTGAGTACTTCAATCTCCTTAGTGACGAGTCTGGTTTTCCATTATATAGCTTCCTGATAATAATAAGAATAATAGCAGTGGGTTAGAAGATTGAAAGCTTATTAAATGCCAAGCGAGGTTACATTGGAAAGAAAGTGTGGAAATCATGCCATGATATGGGCAGCGGGTAGATTCTCTAAGTGTTCCTTTTTCGCTTCATTAGTCGATCTCAAGAGCTCACTTTTTTTCAACCTGAATCTTGAATCGTTTTCTGTGTGAATTAAAACACGGACAAACTTCGACAAACTTCTCGACTTTTCAAGGTTAATTATCCTGTAGACTAAATTGGAAATTGGTCGTGCTCATTTCGATGGCTTAAAAGTATATGCACAAGTGATCTTAATTCGTCAATGACAAATTTTAGTGTCATTCATCTCCTGTTTTGTGTCAATATTCTTCAAACACACGCACACTTTTAAAGGAGTTCACACTCCGGTTGCACTTTTCAAAGTGCTTTTGTGAATTATTATCACGTTTTTTGTCCAGCACAGCAAACTTTTCAACAACCCCCCCCCCTAGTGTTCTTTGTCCTTAAGGACGCTCTTGTTTATGTCAAATATTCTTGTATCGGGCGATTATGAACACGTACATGTTGGAATAACTTCAAAACAACACGTTAGCTGCTTTTGTTAGCTCTGTCGACCCAATTCCTACCATTAGGAAGTGGGAAAGTTGGATAGGCACCTTCGGCAAATTTAGATGAACGACCTTTAGTGCGATAACGGAAGTGCATGCATGCGAATAACTCCCGATCGTGCAAAACTGACATCTTGTAAATACCAAATTAAGAGAGGTATAAAATCGCGTAATCTTCACCCTTCGTTCTTATCTGTTTCAAATAAATCAATGACCCCTGACTTGCACGTCAAGACTAAGAATGATCTCATTAACGTAGTTTGTGAACTAACTTCTTTTATTGATGGTCGAATAATTTACTTATTAATAATTGTTCGTCTAATTTTCGTTTAAAAAACATTGGGCTTCTGAGTGTGTTCAATGTGTATAAGAAACGTATTGAGTTGTGCATCAAAGTTCATATTATTCACTTCCAAGACTTGCTGTGAGCTATCGAATACTCAGTATGTTGCTATTCACGATATTATGCAAATATTTACTTTAATATTTAATTTCATTTTCTGTATTCGCTCGGTATTTCTTTTATCTCCATCATCCGGCTTCCAAGCTTCTGAATTTGCGTCGATAATGCGTCATTTTCCCCGATTTCTGCTGATAGCTACTTTTCCATCACTGTTTGTTCAATTCACAAGACAGACTATTTTGGATTATATTCGCTTATATTTGAAGGCCTTTCCTACTCTAGTTTCGCGACTCGTTCCTAATGTGTCTTTTTGTTCGTGTTGTTGATTTCGATGTAGATGTAAACGAACAATAATTCCGCTGCATGATTAGATATGCCAACGCCATTGAAAGCTATGAACTCGGCATTATATCCCCCCAAGTAACCAGACTGTGGAAAGTCATAGACAATTTATGCAATCACTGTGCAATATATGTGTGACGAAATCAATTTAAATTCATTAAAGTTATCTTTAAAAACCGGCTAAAATATTTCATGGTTCAGGCCTATTTTTGTTAGTTTATGTGGCTCTTGGTTGGAAGAATAAATTAGTGCATCCGGTTAACAGAGTGCTATTTAACGTGTTGGAATCTGCGCTTTTAGATGGAAAAACCGCGCTCTGTCACCTCTGCTAACCTGAACAAACTTGATGTTTGCACTATTGAATATTAAACCACTGAAATGTGGAATTGTTTCTGAACATGAAAGGTGGCTTGGAATGAAATGCCAGATTTCCGTATTCTTACTTTCAATGCGAATAAATAAGCATCCTAGGTGTTGCATATTCTTTGGTTGTCCTAACACGCATTTGTTTCTATTTGTAGCGCCTTAATTGGAGCTTTCTATAGATTTTCTTCCATTTTGTAGTTTGTAGATTGCCTGACTTTTTATCCAAAGGCACAACGTTTTCTAACACTCAGTTCGCAGGAAATAAAATACGTCAATAGATTTACTGCCTTCCATCTTTACTGACCTCTGTAATAATATTAAACACAGCACATATCGGAGCGTAGACTGACTGAACGTCTAATCGTTGGCTGAATCATCCACATTAATGCATGTCTGACATCTAATGTAGGTTCCAAGGGCAATCGTATTGCACGTGTCTCCATTTTGATTGGTTTAGTAATTCTCATTGCTTCCACTTGTCTAAATCTCTGGAAACAACATACTCACCCATTCGGATTCATTGTCCCTTTTTACAATCTCTACATCTAGAATGACCTCTAAAGTTAAAGTGAGCCTGTCGTCCACGCTGATAATAGTTATCTCATTTAAAAATATGATCTTGTGACTGATAAAAGAATCTAGACTCTTCTTATATTTCAAATGGATTTTCTGCAATTAGAATTGTGATACAATTAAGTTGTTTGATAACTAATAGTGCCAATCAAGCTACTGTCACAGTTTATTTAAATACCACGAGGTTTGGAGCAAATATGATTAGCGTTTAAATATCTTATTAACATGGGAAGAATCTTTTCCCAATTCAGTGTGTACATTCAAACCCCCCTTATTAGGGAATTTATTCATTTGAGATTATCTTCTTGTGCTCTTTTCCCCTTGCTTTTGCCTTATCTATTATTTTTTCGACTAGGAAAATTACAGGTTCGCGCACACATCCAAAATTGTGGATCCACATTTTGAATTTCCCCATTTCATTTGTGGGCAGGAGGTCCCATCCGGTCACCATTTTCTATTGTACTCTTTTTAAGCAAAAATGTATATACATATTTTATCACCGATTACGCAAAGATTTCTTGCAAGTACTTGTTGGGCCTTCAATCCTCCTCGTATTCAATTGATATCCTTAATTACATCCCAAAAAGTATCTGCGGTTGCTTATACGGATTTATTAAGTCCTTCCAGTCTTTCAATATCTCCTCAAAATAACTTAATGGTAAAGAGCGAAATAATTCTTGGGGTCGTCAAATACGCAGATTTTACATTGAACTCTGTCTACGTTATCAGTAGCTATTGACTGTTAATGCTTTTTCATCGTTATTTTTCTATTAATCCAATGGGAAACACATAGACAAATGACTGACTTAGTTTCAGTGTATCTCGAGTGCTCATCTGCTTTCTCTTCAAATGTTTATCCTCTCTTTATCTCTCTCTCATAACCTCCCATTTATTCTGCATTAGTCTAAAAGTAATCTTTGATTTCTAACTCTAATTATAAACATTATCGATTTTATTCAACTTCCCTTTTGTCTCCTTTGAGAGGTTTCAGGTTACCAAAAGTATTTACCCAACGGCTCTTGACTATTGGTGGGAACAAATACGCAAGCGGTAGACTCGACTGTACAAATCAATCAAGTGGTCAACTTTGTTCTGAAAAATCAGGGACATGGTGCCCCATTGAGAAACTTTTATTCTAATTTTTCCTTTTATTTTGCATTTGTACTTAATTTGACAAATCGGTTAATCCAATATTGCGTTAAAGTAGGATTCTTTTGGTGTCCTAGATTTGCTTTTACTTCGATTCGACTCCTCCTGTCTCAGCTCTCATTAGACTACTTTACTTCTTTCAGTTTTTAAGGTGTTGTTCCCATTACAATGATTAGTTAATTACTGTTTTCCCTATGGGCAATAAAGGTAAATAATCCAAAGATACCTATTAGTATTTATGGAGTTAGTATATTCTCAAATTATTTGTTAATGTTTTGATGGAAAGTACAATGCCGTATTCGGCATATGGAATACTAATTTGTGGCTTTAAAGTAATTATTTTATTATATATAACTCAAGGTGAATCCCTTCATTGGAGCCTTCTATGATACAGTAATGCTCTACGCTCTTGCTCTGAAGGATACAATCGACAGCGGAGGTAGCATCTACAACGGAACTATGCTCACTTACTACATGCGGAATCGCACTTTTCGCGGTGAGGTTCTCCCTTAACTCCTCTATTTAATTTATGCGCCAGATTTACAACTGCAAACTAAACAAATAGCACATTGGGTCTGCGATCATTTTTAAATTGCGATTTCAGTAATCATTTGAGCTATTTTTGGTCATTCTCTTTTAGGAATTGCTGAAAATGTGAGCATAGACGAGAACGGTGACCGAACTACCGATTACTCTCTCCTCGATATGAATCCTGAAACGGGCGATTACGAGGTGAGAATTGAGCCCTGTAGTATTTCTTTAAGGTGAAAGATGGGGGGGGGGGGGGGGGGGGCGAGGAGCCTAATTTTCATCATCCGCGTTTATGAAACAGTTTCACTGCATGAAAATAGGGTTACAATCGAGGATCTACAGGAGTATATAAGGAGAAATTCGGACAGCATTAGAGTATGCTTCGAATTTATTTGTACCTGAGCAGCCTTGCATCTAAGTAGGAACGATAAGAGGTGATACAACCAGCCATGTACTGGCGATGATAAATAATGCAGTATGCTGCATGATCAGTGGAAGTAAAGCAGTAGAGAAGACGGTCGATTTATTGATAAAGTTTTGAGTGAAAGTGATGACCATATAATAACGTTAAATTGATTAGTTCATTCCGTGATTAGCGTACACCATAAGGTAGGATAAGCCGCTACAAATTTATGCATACTGAGATTCTAGTAAGTAAAAATACACCGACCAGAAAACGTCACGCTTATTTTAATAAATGAATCGTGAAAGCGATTACGAGTAGATGGTTCATTACGAATGAGCCATTAAATGAAAAAGGAAATACAATGCATGTTTGCTTGTGGGGTTTATTATAAAATGGATATCTAGATTTTGGGTATAGGAAAAACTTTGCACTTAGCCTCTACAATTGTAACCAAGCTCTAGTTACTACGATACGATCGAGTAAGGTTGTGCTCTTTGGTTTCTAAATCATCCTAGATGTTTTCCATTATATCGTTGGGGATAGGCAAACCTTTAACTAAATTAAAGAAATTTCAAGGGGAGGAAAGTTCTAAATTTCCACCTCTGCAAAATGCGCAAAAATTTGGAATAGCAAGCATGGGAGTGTGTGGTCGCAAGCTGCCTACGAAAAGTTGTTTTATTCTTGTTCTCTATTTTTGTCTACTAGGTGGTTGGACACTACTCTGGCACTTCGAAGAAGTACCTGGCCCTCCCCTCAAAGACAATCGATTGGGTGAATAAGGATAACACGCCTCCTCCGGACACTCCACGTTGTGGATTCGATGGCAAGAAGTGCCATAATGAAAGTAGGTCTTGGCTTCTCCTCCTATTATTATCATCATTATCCCATTTTCAAATTTATTATTATGCTGTTAACAAGAAATCAAAACACTGCTCCTTAATATTTCCCAAACTGGGAGATAGAAACTGTGCTATATATGACTATTCGGTAGTTGCAGGAGCGAGTCTATTGAGGCTTCACGTTCTTAGTTCCGCTTCATAGCATTGAAGGTATTGGTGGTTTTTTTCGAGCGTCTATTATTTGGCTGGCTCACTGCATTATGATAAGGAATATTTAAATAATTTATATCAAATGGCAGGCATTTTGATTGTAATCATTAGCCCTTTAGTTGACTTCAGTCTTCACAGAGGGGAAGGAACATCAAAGTGAAAAAAGTCGAGATGGGGAGGGGGGGGGAACAAAAGAGTGTTTCAAAGACGAAAGTAGAAAAGGGAGAAAAAAGGTGAGATGAGTACTACGGAGGTAGTCGAATATGACATACAGTGGGGGTGATGGTAGTTTGAAGTCAGAAGTCAACTGCTGGTTAATAGACTTTTTTGCCGTATGAGTATACGTTGCCCAGGGTGCACCACATTTTGCCGTATGAGTATGCGTTGCCCAGGGTGCACCACGTTTGTTTGCCGTATGAGTATACGTTGCCCAGGGTGCACCACGTGATAGACTTACTTGCCGTATGAGTACACGTTGCCCAGGGTGCACCACGTGGTGCCTTATGAGTATACGTTGCCCAGGGTGCACCACGTGGAGCCGTATGAGTAAACGTTGCCCAGGGTGCACCACGTGGAGCCGTATGAGTATACGTTGCCCAGGGTGCACCACGTGCCGTTTGAGTATACGTTGTCCAGGGTGCACCACCTGGAGGTAAGTCTATCGTGAGTATACGTTGCCCAGGGTGCACCACGTGGAGGTGTATGAGTATACATTGCCCAGGGTGCACCACGTGGAGGTAGCCGAATGAGAATACGTTGCCCAGGGTGCACCACGTGGAGGTAAGGTGTGAGTGTACGTTGCCCAGGGTGCACCACGGACTCTTTTGCCGTGTATACGTTGCCCAGGGTGCACCAGTTTAGACTTTTTTGTCGCATGAGTATACGTTGCCCAGGGTGTTAGACTTTTTTGCCGTATGAGTATACGTTCCCCAGGGTGCAGTTAAAAGACTTTTTGCCGTATGAGTATACGTTGCCCAGGGTGCACGGACTTTTTTGCCGTGTGAGTATACGTTGCCCAGGGTGCACGCGTGGAGTTAAGTCTATCGCACACCCCATGTTGCAAATATTGGTGTAAGTTTATCGCACACCCCGTATTTCAATAATAAGTCCGAAGGAGGCGTTTGTTCAAAGGCTACAATGGTTTAACTCTATAGACTATCAATTAAATGCCAAAAATGACCGAAACATCTTAGTTATATATCCAGTAGGATAGCTCCACTCCTCGATTAAAATTCGTGAATATTTAGAGGTAAACTATTTGAGCTTTCTTTGCGTTTGGCTGCTAGCCTTAGAGACTGCTACTGTTGAATTCTCTTCTCAGAGGCGCTAAATTACCAGTTCAAGGTTACCCAGGGCTTGAAGATGGGAGGATATTACAATTCGTCTTTTGGGTCAATAAATAAAGGATTTGTATTGACAGATTGCCGACCTAGATTGAGGTCAGCCAATAAGACCGAAATTAAGGACAAAATAAAACCCTGTCTTAGCGGAATATGGGAGGGCTTAGTCGATTAAAGAAAATACCATCGATCGCTAATAAATGCTCATAGAAACAGAAGACTAAATGAGGGATTTGGCAATGAGAGATATCGGTGTAATTTTCCCCGTTAGAATTACTTTTGAAATTGTTCGATTAGGGTTTTTTTTAATTACATAGGTATATCAACTAGTAGATAGCTAAAGTCCACCTCGTAATCCCCTTCGTTAAGTTTTCTACTCATCATGGAGGATGACTGAGCATGTCTATTTAGCGGGTACAAATTTGAACGGTCTTAGGGGGGGGGGGTTATTTAAGTATTTTAAAACTAATGCCATAATTATAGTCTATCCGTTAATATCCTTTGGCGAAAGGCCCGCTAGATTGGAAATAGTAAACTTCATTCTCATATCCTCTTTCCCTTCTTTTAGATATTATACGGATTAGCATCGGTGTAGCTGTTGCTATGATACTTCTTCTAATCTGCTTACTCAGTGGTGGTATGTTCTTTTACAGGTAAGTCGTGTTTTTCCTCCTTCTCCTCTCAATATCTTTTCAATCTTTCTTACCTTATGGACTAAGAGCGTTGAGTAGAGTGCCTTAGAACACGCTCTTTGAGATGGTAGCTTGTACAACAACTCTAATAATCTCTAGAGCTTGAAAGAGCGGTGACTCGACTTTTATGGAGTAGGAGAGAAAACGTGTGGAAGTACTGACTGACTAGGGTTCAAGAAGTAGGATGGCACGGAAGATGCCACACAAAGACCTACAATTAGTTTTAGTATTTGACCTTTTACCTCGTTTTTTGTAGACGAGCTCGTTTCAACGCTGAGATTCGTGCAATGAATTGGATAATTCCCTGGGAACTCCTCGATCCAGAAAACAATCGCAGTCGTCATCATCGTGTCAATAAGCTTGGCTATGTCAACCAGAAATCTGCCGCTGTTGGTCGAGGTAACACTTCGGACATCACTCCTGCCTTACCACCAATTCCAATAACGACGGTCAATGCTGCTACCAGCCCATCACCAAGCACAGGTTCAGGTGAAAAGACCATCGTTTTGGGGATTGACGTACCAAAAGCCACATCTCCAGAGCGTCAATTTCTCCTCTCACCTGACAATGACCTTGATCCTGATCTCACCAAACCATCAACCCCTCCTGCTTCTAATCTGACTTCCAAAGTCACCTTTGATTCGGCTCCAGTTCTGCATGAGCTCAAGACGCAGAAGAAAAAGAGCACTCATCGAAGTTTCTTCAAAGACAACTCGCCTCCAGATACTCCAATGGTTGATTCCTGGGTACCAGCAACTCCAGGAGGGAACAATGGAATGGGTGCATGGTGGAAGCGTCAGCAACGTTGGTCGAAGAAATCAGATGCCCCAAGTCAGGATGACTCAAACTCTGGTGCTTCAGGCGGTGGCGGTGGTGGTGATGCAACCAGTAGCGGTTGGATGAATTGGTTAGAAGGAGCAATTACACAGGGAGGTGTGGGGCAGAAAAGGAGTGTTCAGGAATTTGTACAACAGCAAAGTCAAGGTTCGGCTATGAGCGAGAAAAAGCGATCTAGAAAGTTTAGTTCCAAGCGACTCTCTTCACATTTGAAAGCGAAAAGGAAGAAGTCGTCCCTTGCTTGGGATAATGAATTAGTAAACAACAAGACTTTGGTGAGTAAACTCCGTTTTTTGGATTTTTTCGATCGATTCGACAATAACAGCTTTATTCACCATAAATTCCTACAAAATCCCGGCTTCATAAGAATGGAAGGAATCCATGAGGCATAGGAATATTTTCGGTATTCTAGGCATTTTTAAAGATAACTTGTGGACACTATTTTTCGGTAGTTGTGTCCTGTCTCAATCAGAGTTTAGTTCTGTTTACTGTCACTTTACTTTTCCCAATTAATGACTAGGATTATTCAAGCTAAGATATGTTTTTTCAATTATCACTCAATTCTTTCTCTATCCACTAGAATTCTCACCGCCACTCACATGACCTCAGGCAACTTTTATTTTCTACACTAGTCAGTTGGGCGGACGTGTAGCGGATTGCTACTTTATTAAAGCCTGACTGACTCAGAAATCTCTATGGCAGTTCCTCCTACATCTAGCTAGACTCCCAGAACCAGCTAAGCTATAGCCCGGCTATAAAGGAAACAGACGTGTAGCACGGAGCACGTTTATTCAGTGGGTATATTGCGGATAAAAGTGTACACGCAGGGAGCTACTCATGATCAGGATGGGGGGATTAGGTTAAACAGAGGTTGATGATTAGTCACTGTTTGTACGGTCGCTGCACACAGAGTTGTACGGCCGCACCTCCCAATTCTGGCGAGCAGACATGCAGACATACGATGACGCACACAGCGATAACGTGTCCCACAGACGTGCAT